GACTCGGGCTAATTTAATAAAAACTACAGTTCTTTTTGTGATTACAGTTTAGACGTGAGCAGAAATACGACATTTTATAGCCCGAGTGGGGGGGGGGAAAATATATTTCACTTCACAATAAAAAAAAAGAAAAAAAAAATCAGATAATCGCAATGTCATTTACCAAATAACATCATTTCCCTCTCGTGCCTGAGGGATTTTCAGATATAGAAGAAAAAAAAAATAATAATAATACATGAATTACAAGAACGGAGGCACTGGCTGACGATCTGTCACGTCATCTGTCGGATTATTACGACCGACATGTTTTACAACCCGTTAACAAGTTTGAAGTTAAGTATCTCAGTATTTTGGATCATAAATCAATTGGGGGGGAAGGAAAAAAAAAAAAGAAATTCTCTCATCTATCGTTGGCCATATCTTTTTTTTTTTTAACTTCAACAGCTCAATCAAGTATGCATGGAGAATATTTGTGTCTGTCCGCAAATACACAACAGGATTTTACTCAGAATTGAGGGGTGTGTTGTGTTGAATACAGTGGTACCACAATTGATCTCGGCGGAGTGGAGAGAGAGCAAAAGACACGGTCAACAAATATGACATACTGTGTACTGTCCAACGTCTGCACCAGTGTCAGTACTACATACTGTATGTACGTACATATGTACATATACACATACATACATATATATATACACATACATACATATATACATATACATACATACGTACATACTGTATGTACATACATACGTACATACTGTATGTACGTACATATGTACATATACACATACATACATATATATATACACATACATACATATATACATATACATACATACGTACATACTGTATGTACATACATACGTACATACTGTATGTACGTACATATGTACATATACACATACATACATATATATATACACATACATACATATATACATATACATACATACGTACATACTGTATGTACATACATACGTACATACTGTATGTACGTACATATGTACATATACACATACATACATATATATATACACATACATACATATATACATATACATACATACGTACATACTGTATGTACATACATACGTACATACTGTATGTACGTACATATGTACATATACACATACATTCATATATACACACATACATACATATATATACATACATACATACATACATACATACATACATACATACATACATACATACATACAGTATGTACATACATACATATATACATCCACACATATACATACATATATAAATACATACTAATATGTATGTATACACATACATATATATACATACACATACATATATACATACATACATACATACATATATACGTACATATGTACATACATACATACATACTGTATGTACGTACGTATGTACATACACACATACATACATATGTACATATACACATACATACATATATACACACATACATACATATATATACATACATACATACATACATACAGTATGTACATACATACATATATACATCCACACATATACATACATATATAAATACATACTCATATGTATGTATACACATACATATATATACATACATATACATATATATATACATATATACAGTACATACATATACATATACACATACATATACATATATACATATATATATGTTTAGGGGACAGAGTGGTGCAGCAGTAGGACCACTGCCTGCCACTAGACAGCGTTGGGTTTCGATACCACTTTAGTCCCTAAATACCAGCCCCCCCCCCCTTTCTCCGCCTCCACACCTCAACCCTTGAAGTTGCCGTGAGTGAGTATAATAAATATGAGTAGGTTTGGTCCGTGGAGTCAAGGTATTACTGCGAAAGACGTCGAGAAACAATTTTATCAGACGGCCGCAGACCGTAATATAGAGATATTAGATCGTTGGCGGCAAATCCCATTTTGTTTTCTCGAGAAGCAATATTTTAGAGAAAATCAGGCTGACGTTTTGCCGAGAGCGGTTGCACCGAGCGAGGTAAACATTGCATGTCCAGTGCAGAGTTAAAAAAAAAACATCTGGCAACGATATGATTGGATTGGAACTACTTTTGTCACGCTGCTGAATAATAACAGCGTTAAAGCAAGATTTTTCTGACAGGATTCTCTGCTCAGTCCTTCCTGTTGTAGCGGAGGGGATTTAAACCCTGTTGATGATGAGATTTGATTGGATGCAAAGGGCAACAACACTCGATGGCTTTTCGTTGGGGGGGGGTCAAACTGGATTTATGCAGGGCAAAGGTCAACAAGGAAACCGGGGCTCTGCTGTAGCAGTAGTGTGGAGGTCTGGTCTTTTGCATGAAGATTGGTGGAAGTTATGGATGGATGGATGGATGGATGGATGGATGGGGTTCCTCAACGATTTTGTTTATGTTGACCTTAAGTTTCTTTATTAAAGAATATGTCAAATATGACAAAGACCAAATATATTTCATGAAATATATGCTGCTGCCCCCGCGACCCGGTAACGGATAAGCGGATGAAAATGGATGGATGGATGGATGGATGGATGGATGGATGGATGCCAGGGTAATGTTTGCCTCTGAAAACTACGGGTACGTTTAAGCACGCAGCTCCTCAACGAGTCGCCCTTGTGACCCCACTCCAAAGCACTTTACCGCCCCGACGCGTTAGAGGACAACAATATCAACTCGTGTGACTCATTACGCCGCGATTATGTCCAAAAACCCCCCAAGCTGTTAGCTTGGATCGCAGAGAAAACAAAAAAATGGTTCCCATCGGTTGGCCCTCTTTTTGTGACGCTTCGAATGTAGGTCAAGCTTTTCAGCTGCATAATTCCCAATTAGCTGATAGGGCAGCTGCGCCGCGGCCAGCACGGCTGCGATTGGCGCAGAAGGCCCGATCTCTCGTCGGCATATTAACATCATCCTCCGCCCGAGCTGTGCTGCTGCTCTCTGTCAGCTGGATAATTCACTCGGTGGGGGGGCGGGGGGGCAAGGGGGAGGGAGGGGGGCAGACAGACAGACCAGCCTCTGTTATAATCACTGTCCAGGAGGCCACACACACACACCACCCCCATGGACGCTCATTGACATGCTAACAGATAACGGACCGCTCGCGCTGCTACACTTAGCATGTGTACTTGTAAAAATCAACTCCTGTGATGAGTGACCGACGTTAAAACGAGTGGTGAAAGGAGGTGCGAGAAGCCGCTAGCAATATGTTTAAATTGGTATATGACGCGATTAGCATCTGTTTCTGACTCCCACCCACCCCCCCCAAAAAAAAAAGAAAAAACTTCATCTTTAACCTGAATATAGAACTGCATATTGGTTGAAGGGCTTACACGGTGGGAGAGAGGTTAGTGCGTTTGCCGTACAGAACAAGGTCACTGGTTTGATCCCTGGTGCTAACTCATGGTGGCAGTAAAACACCATCATAGACCAGCATTCGTTTGGAATTGGAAAAAACGTGAACTAGTGTGTCAAAAATATTGTCTCTCGCGACAAAAAAAAAAAAAAAAAAAACAACTTTAAATCAAATATTTCAATATTTTTATTCCATCCCACGATTTTAAGTCAAAATAGTAAGTAGTAAGTTTTGAGCAACAAAACAGTCGACGTCAATCCGAGAGATCAATCTGAAAGTTTCTGACAAAGTTACAGTGTCTGTGTCTGTGTCGGGAATTACAAAAAGGTCACATTTTGCCGACTTTTAATAATCCCGCTGTAATTACGTTTCTGTTTGGAAAAGCAGTTTTGCATTTTTTTTTTTTTTTCAAAAATAACCCTAATCCCTCAGATGCAGGGGATTTATCTCCTCCTAATGCTGCTCATCCCATTTTCTGCTCATCAGCGTTGGCAACGCAACGCGGGGCCCCAGATTTACTCTTATTTACAGAGCGGACAATTTACGAGTCACCACTGAGCCTCTGCTGATGTGCGTGTTGACAGTGAGTAACTTGAATGCGTACGATTGCGTGGATTAGTCCCAAAAAAAGGGACGTTTTTTAGGACAGGAAGTGAAGTACTCCACAGAATTCACTTGGTTTTCCTTGACTGACTGGTTTCTCCTACTTAACACTCCCACGCACAATCCCGATCTCTCTCTCTTTCTCTCTCTCTCGCTGCCTTACTGCGTCGTTCCTCCCTCACCCCGCCCCCCTCCCTTCTAGCGCACAAATAAAGGCGTGCACGCGCTGTTGTTACTTATCAAAACAAGAGTTGTATACACACGTGGACAAAATTGTTGGTACCCCTCAGTTAAAGAAGGGAAAACCCACAATTCTCACTGAAATCACTTGAAACTTACAAAAGTAACAATAAATAAAAATTTACTGAAAATTAAAGCCATTACTTTTGAATTGTTGATTAACATAATTATTTAAAAAACCAAACCAACAATTTTGTCCACGGGTGTATTTGGAAATTTTTTTTTTTTGCATTTTATTCAGTGGCGCTTTGGCCCAGAGGCAACGTCTCTGTCATGGGTGTGGAACCCCAGGGTTCACCTCCTGGGCAAGTTCGAATCCCGGTTAGGACGGTTGGTACCTTGCAGTGGACTTGCCACCCGCAGGAAGGTTCAGGGGGTGGTGAACATGGATGGATGGATGGATGGATGGATGGATGGATACATTTTTTTTATTTAAACAAAATTTTATTTAATTTTGTTTCACTGTGGAGAGAAAAAAATATTTTTGTTTATCTGCAATAAATGACCGGAAGAAGTAGAAGAAGAAGAAACTGGATCTGGAATTGAAATGTTCTTTCCTGTATTTGAACAAATTTCCATCCATCCATCCATCCATCCATCCATCCATCCATGGAAACCAAAAGCGCCTTCAGTAAACATATATTCTTCAAATCTAAGTCGATTTTTAAAAAACAACAGAGTTGAAACAAAGTGCTGAATGATAATGAATAAGTAATACTAGCGTACTGGCAACAGCGCTACAGGTAAAAAGGTCACGGTTAACATGACCTCTTCTTTTTTTTTCCACCTAGGGTCAAATAAACAACGCTAAATCCGGTGATCCTCAGTGGAGACGAGACCCGGCTGACGTTAGCTTTAGCCGGTGGCCGGTGCCGTCGTAAGTAATAATAACTCATTCAGGTAACAAGAAACATCATCTTTCCTGGACGGCTTTTGTAATCTAGAGATTTTTTTATAATTCTGCTCATGCACCGCTAGATCGGGCAGGAGTTCATGAGCCATTAACGTGGAGGGAGGCGGGAAGGAAAAAAAAAAAAAAAAAAATGGTGATCACACTTTAGGTGAAATGTGGCCGTGCGCAGCAATCTGCGCTAAGCAGCTCAGCTGGCAGCTGTCCAGGCTACGAGCCGATGACTCGCCTCCCGTAAGAGCTTCAACGGCGACACCAACCGTTTCCTCTTTATTTCGGATTAAACCTGAATGCTCACTCAGCTCCGTTGGCCACAGAGATTTGTTTATTTTTGCTTTTAATCCAATGCCAAGACACGGAACCGGCCTAGATAACGGCATACGTAAAAGTACGTTAAGTCCACAACGAGAATTTGGGTTTCACTTTTTTTTTTTTACAAAAAAAAAAAAATGGATTTTTTAAATTTGATTTGTCGGTTTTACAGTCAGTTATTTTTATTATTCATATGAAACCAACAAAAAAAAGAAAGAAAAGTAAACATATTTTTGTCAACTCTTGATATTAATTTTAAAATTATTTTGAGTTAACTCTGGACAACTATGAAATATATATATATACACATATATAAACACATATACATACATATATACACATATATATAAATATATATACATATATACACATATAAGCAAACGCGTGTTTTGTACCGTAGCGTTTGCATTGTTTTTTCCCCTGGTATAGCAGGTATATAAATACATATACATAAATATATACATATACATAAATATATACATATACATACATATATACATATATATACATACATACATATATATACACATACATATATATACACATAAAAAAACGCTTACTTTTCTTAATTTTTATTTTTTTTTTGTATTTCTGTTTAGTTTATAAATATAAACACAAATCCGTAATTGAACACGGAGATCGTGGCAGTGAGAACGAAGGAATAATGTTGACGTTTTGAGTCGCCGTAGCTCAGTTTCGTAAAGTCGATGTAAATAAAAATAAAACAGAGGAGATGAGACACGGTGACGAGACAAATTTGGTCAGAAGAACGCATCGGCAACAGCACAGAGAGATGGGAGGGAGGGGGAGCGAGAGAAAGAGAGAGAGGAGGAGAGGGAGAGGGAGAGAGAGAGAGAGAGAGAGAGTGCCAACTCTGTGACATCTTCTCCCTCAACGCGTTGCCCGGAAAACTACAACTTTCCCGTCTACCACTGGATATAGAAGTGTTGATAGGAGATATTGCCGCCGCCTGTGGTGTAAACGGTAAACTGCGAACATGGCAAAGCCATCTTTGGCGATAATGAGGTCAAGGTCACTTACGGAGTGCAAAAAAAAAAAAAAAGCATCTCGTGACAACGCAAAATTGGAGAAGAAAACTAGCGTTTGTTACATTTCTAGCAACATTTGTGTAAATATTAAATAAGTGAAAAGTAGGGGTGAGTCTGACAATACCATACTTCACCATAAGGGGGCAACTATATGATATATTTGAATGTAAACCTCATTAAACAGCAATATTATAGGCACAATGATACACAGTAGTCCTTTCGCTATTTCGCGGTTCATCTTTTCACGGGTTTTTTGCAAACTTGATCTGCGAGAGATGTCACAGGAATGGGACGACGATACGGTTCGATCGGTGCAATTTCGCAACAAAATCGACGACGTCATGACTGCCTACTAGCTAGTCTATGACTGGAAAAAGAAGCAGCGGAAGCAACTGCCGATCGCAATGTTTTTGCAGCCTCACCAAAAAAAACGAATACACCTTCGGAAACCACGGAAGAGGTGCCCCAAGAAATGGCACCACCCTCTGGAGAGACGTAAAATGAATCATCAGCTGCGTAGTAAAAGTCATCATCATTTTACTGCACATAAATACGGTGTCACTACTTCGCGGAAATTCAGTTCTCGCGGCAGGGCCTTGGAACCGATCTACCGCGATAAACGAGGGACCGCTGTGTCGTGGATTTCTTTTTTCACCGATCTAGCTGTAGTCCGAGTGTGATCTTAGTCTCAGACTCTGTTCCATCTGAACATCAGGTTACAAACATCGGAACAGAGGGATCTACATTTGGAATCACTAGAGAAGAAAGAAAGGAAAAACAAAATGAACCAACACCAGGAATATCGGACTGCGAATTGGGGATAAAAAAAATAACTGTACGTGTATTTTTTACACGTCCAGTAAAACAATGAACTAAGCTTTCTCAAATGTTGAAAAATAAACAGAGGTGTGTGTGTGTGGTTCGTGATGAAGACAAAGCGTAGCAGCAGTCACGCTACGACTTTAAATACAATTACTTAAACAAGGTCAGCCCACGGAGAGTGGAGCTAAACACAAATGAAAGAAGCTGTCTGGAAGCAAATCCTTCTGTGATCCAATAAAAAAAAATAATAATCCAGGATAATATAAAATATATTCCATGTTCTACATACAGTACTCCTGACACAGCAGTGATGTGGTATTTAGGTCAGTGACGGTCAAGGCAGAAAACTGCCTTGTTTAACGTTAGAAATAGAGGTAAAACGGAGAAGCAAACATATTTTGTCAACTCTTGATATTAATTTTAAAATTATTTTGAGTTTACTCTGGACAACTATGATCTATATATATATACTGTATATGCACATATATATATCTTCTTTTTCTTTCGGCTTTGTCCCTTTTTTTTTTGAGGGGTTGCCACAGCACATCACTGATTTCCATCTCTCCCTGTTCTCTGTATCTTCTACTCTGACTCCAACTATCTGCATGTCCTCCCTCACTGCATCCATATATCTCCTCTTTGGCCTTCCTTTCTTTCTCCTACCTGGTAGCTCCATCTCTAACATTCTTCTACCGATGTATCCACTGTCCCTCCTCTGCACATGTCCAAACCATCTCAATCTGGATATATACATATATATATGTATGTATGTATATATACAGTATATGTATATATGTGTATATGTGTGTATATGTGTATATATGTGTATATATGTATATATATGAATATATATGTGTATATATGTATATATGTGTATACATATATATATACATATATACATATATACATATACATACACATACATACATACATATATACACATATATACATATATACATACATACGTATATATGTATGTATATATGTATATATATGAATATATATGTGTATATATGTATATATATGAATATATATGTGTATATATGTATATATATGAATATATATGTGTATATGTATGTATGTATGTATGTATATATATGTATATATATATGTATACACATATATACATATATACACATATATACATATATACACATATATACATACATACATATATACACATATATATTCATATATATACATATATACACATTAGAAAATGAGAGAATAGTGGTTTTACATTTACAGTAGGGACCTTGGATTTGTTATTGGTGCTAATGGTCCTCTCTACCCATGGGTTCAGCGGGGGGGGGTGGGGGGGGGGGAAAGTAAAAAAAAAAAAAAAAAAAAATTTACAGCCTGAAGGAAGAGTTTCACAGAATAAGTTGGAAAAGTGGGTCACTGCTTAAAACGTTTGGGAAACACTGGTTTAAACAGGTCCTCGGGGGACGAGAACAGCACTCTTACTGAAGCCCGTTTTTAGAAAAAAGTGTCTGATCGCATGTTCGCGTAGCAAACGTTTCCCGTGTCTCTAAACTGCCTTGTTTACTTTAGGACGCGTGAGCGAATTCATAGTCTGTGTGACGGTCTTTGTACACGTAAGGACATTAAATCTCTATACGCCGCGCCGGAGCTTTATGCCGTTTAATTGCCATTTTTCAGACCATGCTAATGTGTAAAACCAAAAGAGGTCTTTGAATCAGCAAAGTGCTTGTAATGTAATAACCACTCTCTCCTAAATGGAGCCTCGATTCCATTTAAAAGAGGGTGAAAAACGTGTGCACTCTAGCTTCAGGCTTTCATCTTGCATATAAATGACTTGCGCTGAAAGTGGGCGATAGAGCAGACCGCAGACTCCAGGTCTGGGGTCACGAACTGTATCACCAGCACTCTGCTGGTTACACACACCAGCACCTAACCCAGGGTTAGAGGGTTAGGGTCAGGGTTAGGTTAGGTTAGGGTTAGGGTTAGGGTTAAGGTTAGTTAGAGTTAGGGTTAGTTAGGGTTAGGGTTAGTTAGAGTTAGGGTTAGTTAGGGTTAGGGTTAGGGTCAGGGTCAGGGTGAGGGTCAGGGCCAGGGTTAGGTTAGGGTTAGGGTTAATTTAGGGTTAGGGTTAGGGTTAGGTTAGGGTTAGGGTTAGGGTTAAGGTTAGTTAGAGTTAGGGTTAGTTAGGGTTAGGGTTAGGGTCAGGGTCAGGGTGAGGGTCAGGGCCAGGGTTAGGTTAGGGTTAGGGTTAATTTAGGGTTAGGGTTAAGTTAGGGTTAGTTAGAAATAGATTTAGGGTTAGTTAGGGTTAGGGTTAGGGTCAGGGTCAGGGTGAGGGTCAGGGCCAGGGTTAGGTTAGGGTTAGGGTTAAGTTAGGGTTAGGGTTAGGTGCTGGTCTGCGGGTTAGGGTTAGAGGGTTAGGGTCAGGGTTAGGTTAGGGTTAGGGTTAGTTAGGGTTAGGGTTAATTTAGGGTTAGGGGTAAGTTAGGGTTAGTGTTAGGGTTAGTTTAGGGTTAGGGTTAAGTTAGGGTTAGAGCATAACGTCTTTTGTTTCACCTTCACTCTCGCTTGTTCCGATTCTGTCATCAAGCAACTCTCGTCAAAATTGAAATATTTTGCTTATTGCAAATATGGCACAAACCCTCGACAGGATCTGGATTTTAAATCCTTTTCCCACCATTTTACAGAGATTACGATTACGATTAAGAATACGACATTTAAAATCCATTGTAACATCTGTCTGAGAACTTGACGACGCGCCCTTTTCCGTATTTTTCCGACGCGGCAGATAAAAATGATCAAACTCGTGAAAACTTGTGTTCTCACACGTTCTACCCTCTCTGTTCTCTCCTCCTAGATTCCACAGCCACAGGGGGGCGCTCTGATGTTGGACCGGTGTGAGGCCGTGTGGAAGGACCAATGAGAGTGGATACTGAACGCTAAGACTTTTATTGTCATTCCGAACATTCTGGAAGCAGGGTATAAGATTAAAAAAATATTTATCGCAATGAATATCCCCCCCCATACCCTCGTACTGTCCTCGGTTAAGAAGCGGGGAAGATATACGGTCTGCCTCTAGAGGAGGTAGTAGGTATTACAGTGGAATCCATTTTTTTTAATCTCATTATACAAACCATTCTGCCATAAAGGGATATTTCAGTTTTTGTTTGTTTGATTTTTTTTTTGATTTTTTTTATAAAAATGACTTAGCAATTTCGATATGCCCCCCCCCCCCCCCCCCC